CTCCTTCCTCCCCCTCCCCCTCCTCCTCCTCCTCCTCGTCGCTGGCCACGCCCCCCGGCGCCAGCGGCTCCGCCTCCTCGCGCGGAGGCTCCGCCCACGGCTGCGGCTCCCCGGAAGCGAAGGCGCCGTAGAAGGCCACGCCCCCGTAGTGCACGAGCGCGGCGATCAGGAACACCCACTGCCACTCCTCGCGCGTCTGCGCCAATCAGCGCCCGCCGCGCGCCCGCGGGGGCGGGGCCCGGCGGGCGGCCAATGGGTGGGGGGGAGAGAGAGAGAGAGAGAGACAGCGGGAAAAGGAGGGGGCGTGGCCAGGGGGAGAGAGCGGGAAATTGAAGAGGAGGGCGGGGCCGAGGGGAGGGGGCGGGGCCAGGCGAGCAGTGAGTGACAGGCCCCAAATTCCGGGGTGCCCCCCCCGTGTCCCTCTGTCCCCCCAATGTCCCTCTGTCCCCTCCAATGTCCCATTGTCCCTTCAATGTCCTTCTGTCCCCCCATGTCCCATTGTCCCCTCTGTGTCCCTCTGTCCCCCCCACAATGTCCCTCGGTCCCTCCCTGCCTGCTGCTGTCCCCAGCCCCCTTGTTGTCCCCCCAGTGTCCCCAGTATCCCCGGTGTCCCCCTGGTGTCCCCGGTGTCCCCGGTGTCCCTCACCTTGTGGCGGGTCAGCGCCCCCACGATCAGGGGACACACCATGCCGGACAGTGTCCCCAGTGTCCCTGGTGTCCCCAGTGTCCCCAGTGTCCCCGGTGTCCCTCACCTTGTGGCGGGGCAGCGCCCCCCCGATCAGGGGACACACCATGCCGGACAGTGTCCCCACGCCGTTGCTCAGCCCCATCAGCACGCTGGCGTAGCGCGGTGCGATGTCCAGGTGGTTGACGTTGAAGCCTGCCGGGGGTGGCAGCGGCGTCACTGGGGCGTCCCCCGTGTCCCCCCGTGTCCCCCCGTGTCCCCCCGTGTCCCCGGTGCCCACCCGAGATGGCGAAGCCGCTGAAGCCCACGGCCAGCACCAGGAAGGAGATGGCGACGGCGCGCGAGCGCGAGTAGCCCACCACCAGCAGCAGCGTGGCCTCCATGCCGAAACCTGCGGGGACAATGTCACATTGTCATTGTCACTGTCACATTGTCACTGTCACTGTCACATTGTCACTGTCACAGTGTCACTGTCACACTGTCACTGTCACACTGACAGCCCACCACCAGCAGCAGCGTGGCCTCCATGCCGAACCCTGGGGAGGGGACAATGACATTGTCATTGTCACT